CAGGATGCCACTAAGCTGCTTCTGTGGCCAACCCACGTGCCTGGGCCATCAGATTAGGGCTGGGCAGCGGGCACAGTGCTGGCTGCAGGGTGGGTTCAGCCATCCTGGCAGCCCCTCACGCACCATGGGCTTTTGCCGAGCTGCCGATACCAGTGCTCCCAGTGTCTTCCACTCCTGCTGCTAACTGGAACCAGCAGCAGCCCATGATGAGCACAGGGATGGGCCAGGGTAAGGACCATCTGGAGCAGCATCTCTGCCTGAACAGCTCAGGGCAGAGGGCAAGGGGGCAAGGGCAAGCATTGGAGCTTGGCCACAACACTGCCCCACAAACAGCACTGCCTCTCCTGCCCGTAGCCATGCTGCCCCATCCCTGCCCCACCACGCTCCCCAGTGCCCGGGGCAGGGGCCGAGCTGTGGCTCTGGGTGACGACAGGACACCCCCAACCCTGACACCGCTCCAGCCAGCCAGATCCTCCTTGGGATAAGCAGCCCCCGGGCCTCCTCTCTTTCTCTTTCTTCCCCCACAACTTTTGCATCGCAGGGACAAGCTGTGCTGTCCCCATCCCAACCCCTGCGTCTCCCAGCGTGACTCATGTTTGTTGACCCAGGCTATTTCCGAGAGCGCAGCTGGCCTGATCCCCGCGGGGCGTCGAGCCCCTTCCCTGCCCCAGCCCTCCCCCTTGGCCCAACGCCACCCCCACACCGCCATTCCCAGGGGAAGGGGCAACAGACGGGTGATTCCAGCTATGAACAAGGCACTGGCAAAGCCGAGCCCCTATCTCCCATCCTGTGCCCGCTGCGGTGCGGTCCCCCTGCAGCATCCCCTTCCCAGCAGCATTTCCATGCTGCTCCCCGCTCCCCGGGGACCTGCCCTCAGCCGCTTTCCCACGGAGCAGGCGGCTGCGCCGGGCCTTTTGAAGTGGCCTTGGGTCGAGGGCTGTGTCCCAGGCGTGACGTTGTCCTTACCACAGCGGGGAAAGCAGCCGGACCGGGGGTCCGCACCAGGAAAACACAGGGGCACCCTCATCCTGAACAGTCTCCGCTGCCCCGGCCCTCCCTGCAGCCCGGCCGAGGAGGGTGCTCGGGGGGGGGGGGGGGTGGGGGTG